GCCCCCAGTAAGTGCCCGAGTTTTACCCTTCCCGCAGCATTTTTGCCCAGGAAAGCAGTGCCAATCAATAAACATTTCCCTTATTACTTTGGAAACATCTCGCTTTGAGGATTTGTTCTTAGAGTTTCATTTTAGACATACTACTGCTCTTTACCAAATCATAAAGCAGAGCGAAGAGAAGTGCCCAGAGCCAGCGGCCCAGAAGACCGCAGCTGTGGTGAGAAGAAAAGGCCATGGGAAAGGGGCCCATGGTGGCAGGGAGGAAGAGGAGGCTGCCAAGCAGCACAGCTGCCCTGGAACAGAAGGTAACCAGCAAATAAAGCAAAAGGATGTAAAAAACTTTCCAGAAAGTGGGAGTACACTCGGCCTTTGGACACCAAAGTGTTTGCTTTTACATGCAAAGCCCCAGAGATGAATGAGTTGTACAGTGTTGATCCAGGGTTTATTTGACAATAGACAGCGCAAAGTCCTCGAGTGAGGTTCAGCTGGCCAAAACCCTGTTTGCAGTCTTCCTCCTGAATCCCAGCCTGCCCTTGGTTCGAAGACAGACTCATGTAATGGCTTAGATTGCACCTAGAAAACCAAGCTGACTCCTCAGTTGTCTGGGAGAAGGGAGCAGGACTCACAGTACCATAGAAATGCTGCCCTCAGGAGGGACGACGGCAGCTTGTCCTGCAGATGAGCCCAAATGAGGGAGCAGGGGAGTGCGGAGCCGGCAGCCAGGGGCTCAGCCCACCCTGGGAGGGCACAGAGACACCCGAGTGCTTTGGTGGGTCCCATACCTGGCTCTGGGTGGGCACCAATAGCCACTTATACCACAGCCACACTCCTCCACTGGTGCTGAAAGCGGCTGGGGAGTAACAGGAGCAGGGGCAGGGAAAGGGTGTCTCTTCCTTATCTAATTAAATCAGAGCTTGACACTCCCTGTGCAGAGATCATGGTCCCTCCTGCAGTGACCCATATTATTCCCTAAGCACAAAAAATGCTGTTCTAGGTTGTTTCTAGGAAACAGTCTTTGGCTCCCTACCATGTCTCAAAATCTTCTCGGAGCATTTAAGGCCTGCTGTATGTGGGACAAACCCCAAGAAGGGGACAGTCCTCTGGAAAGATGCAGGTTGCTTGTGAGGACCAGAAGCACCTCAGGCAAGGCCCAGCTTTGCCCTGCTGCACATCTTGGGGCAGCTCTGCTCTTTTTGGTGCGTCTCCAGCTCTCACAGGTCACTAGGAAGAGCTCTTAGCTCTGGCTCCTCTGGTAACCACAGCAGCAGCACGCAGCTCTCAGCTCAGGCCCTTTTCCCACTAGGGCAGTTACAGCAAACAGTGCCACAGTTGGCATCAACCTTCTCCCACTCCATGAAGGAGACACAGCCAAGGGAAAAAGCAGCATCTTAAGCTGAAACAGGACAGAGCCCAGCGGCAGTGCGGATCCAACGCAGGCTCGGGACCGGGCGGCTTTGGAACTGGAAGGGGCAGCATGCAAGGAGGAATCGCAGCGCGTGGCAACGCTCACAGCCCACAAGGGCTGGCGCTGCTCCCAGGGCCTGCGGCCCCTGGAAACCCTTGGAGGGGATGGGGAACGTCCCCTCTCCCAGATCTCACACCAGCCCCGAGAGCTCCTCACGCACGTCCTGGGCACTGCAGGAGATGCGTGGGCAGGTGGAGCCTCTACTCAGCACATGCCCCACAGCCAGGCCAGACCCACGCTCCCCACTCAGGCAGCGGGCAGCAAGAGCCCACGGGGAGCAACTTTTGGCATCCAGACACCATCCAGAGCTCCCACTTGGGCTCCAGCACCTGGGGAGGGCACCAAAGGGTGCAGCCCAAAGAGGCAGCACCCCAAGGCCCAGACACTGCTCTGGGGAGTAGGGCGACCCTCTGTGCCACCAGGCAGCACCTTGTCCTGATCTCTCCAGCCTCAGGAGGTGCCAGGACAAGCAGCCACCTCTGCCCAGGGCAGATTCCCGGATGGAGACCCCCAGGCAGGGGGGTCCAGTCAGCCCAGTGAGGGAAAGTCACCTAATACAGACCCGAGGCCACCACGGCACCTCTGTAACCATTGCCTTCCTGCCCAGCAGGGACCTGGGCCTCACAGCCCATGGCAGGGGCAGCATCCCCAGCACCGAGCTGAGCTCCTCTGCCCAGGGAGACTGGGGCACCAGGAGGCTCTTCACTACCACACATTTTACACCAGCTCCCCCAGGGTTATTTTACAAACCACTCCCATGCCCACATAGCAAACCTGGCACTAAGCATGTTTGCTGGAGCAATATCAAAGGCAACACAGAAATAAAGGACATGGTGGTGACCCAGTAAGCCAGCTTTTACCTGCTCCAGGCTCCAAAACACCTCTCTGCACTTCCAGCTTCTCCCTGCTTTAACTCAGCCCTTTTAATGGCAACCTGGGCTCCTTCCCCAGCTGAAACCACTTGGCTGCTGCTGGGTCCTTGGTACCAACCTGAGGAGACTGTTCTGCAATCACGGGCCTGCGGGTTGAAGCTTTGAAGCAAGCAGTAAATTCCAGAGATAAACAAGTTGTTTTTAGAGATTAAGATCACAGAGGAAAACCAGATAAAGCAAATTGAATGTTTTCTTGTCTGCCATGATAACAGGTTATAGGAAAAAAAAAATGTTGGAATGGACAGAGCCCAAATCCCCTGTCCAGGGAGGTTTGCAGCAGGAAGAGACAATAGGAGAACTGCAGGTTTTGAAGGTCAGCCAGGGAATCTACAGCACAGCCACGAGGCAAAGCCGTGCGAGGAGCCTGGCTATGCTGCCTGCTGGCCTGTGAGCGGGAGGAAGCAGCAGCCATGGAAGGGAGAGCCCAGGGCACTGCCAAGGCTTGGCTACGGTGTGCCCACGTCTGAGCTGTTTTTTTCCCTTTGCACCATTATTAACACAAAGGCCTTTTCTTTAAAGGACCAGAGTTTGGGAATAAATCTTAGGATGTACCTGTTGGCTACTGAGTAAATCCCTTTTTATTTTAGCAGTTTCTCAGAGCAGCGCAAGTGCAAGAGACAGTAGCCTCTGCGTGGAGGAAGGAGCAGCGAGCGGCTTTGGTGGCGGGACTCTTCCTGCTCCCCACCACGGTATTCCTGTGGGGCAGCGCGTTTCCCAATCGATGTCATTGTTTGTATCGCAAGAACCGATATTGCAGGTCCCAGAGTGGGGTTATGGTGCGGTGGGATGGGAGCAGCAGAATAAGTGTGACCTATGGTGGTAACTGGTGCTACCAAGCGGGGGGAATCCAGCCTTGCATGTGGACAAGGTGTCTCACACTCATCTTGGTTGTAGTGGCCTGTTCACACACTGTCCCTGGAAGGACGGGAAAGCCTTAGCACAGTTGCCTTTGCATCAGGAGACACCCCCCCTTGCTGTGGCCTTAGGGGAGTCTCGAATGGTGGAAGGGACACGTGGCCTCTCTCCTGATGGAAAACAACACAACAGCTTAGCGAGCATTGGGTAGTGGTGGCTGTTTTTATTACAGAAGCACTCACAATCTTGGACCGAAATGAGGTACTGCCACACACAGGGAGTTAGAGCAACAGGGAGCCCCACAAGGAGCTCGGGGTCTAGCCAGAGGCAAGGTCGACCAGGGAGGAAAACCAGCACCGTCTTCCTCAGGTGACGGGGATGCTGGACGACTAAGATTAGGAACCAGGTCACCCATAGAATTGGTGGCAGAGCCAAATAGTTTTTCTCTGAACGGAAGCCTGGCAGCCTAAGCCCAAAACAGGTCTCCCTTTTTTGGGTCTTGACTTCTGCACAGATCATGTTTACACTGCTTGCTGCTTTCTGAACGACTGAACATGCAGGGAGGCCCTTGGGGAGGCCACCTCCTCCTGCCCTTTGCTTTCTGCTCAAGAACATGCCTGCCGCCGTATGGCGAGGAATTTGCCAGGTATTGTCCGATTCTCTATCTTCAGCCATAAGGCAGAAATATCCATCTCCTCGGACTCAACATCGAGCTCAAAGGTGAAGTTTTGCAGCAGTGTAGCGAGGAAGAGGAAGAGCTCGATCCGGGCCAGCGCCTCTCCTGGGCACATCCGCTTTCCTGGGAGGCACAGGGAGAAAAAGAAAAGACTTGAAGGAATCGCTTCATACAGGGGAAAGGCATATGTGTGTGGAAGGGTGGAGGTGGGCAAAGAGCCCAGAATAGCTTTGCTGCCAGCCAAGGTCAGTAGCATCTTCAACCTGGCTTTTCCTTAGATGGATTGGGACCCACCAGGCAGCATCCCAGCAAAGCCCATGTGCGGGGCTAAGCAGGTACCTGCTGAGAAAGCCATGAAGGCTTCGCGCTTCCTGAATTCCCCTTTCTCATCCAAGAAGTGGCGTGGGTCAAAATTTTGGGGGTTCTCCCACTGGGTTGGATCTCTATGCACTGAAGAAAATATTGGAATAACAGCTGTGTCCTGCAGGAGAAAGACGTGAGAGAAAAAGCGAGAAGGAACATGAGTGTTGTAGCACGTGGCTTTGCTGAGCAGAGCAGACCAACGCGGGGCTCGACCCTTGCCCGCAGCCCTGGCCATGTCTCTGTGCAGCCAGGGTTTCCTTCTGAAATGGAGAAACCCTCCAACCTTGCAATAGGGACGAGGGCTGGGCTGGGACAGGCACCGGCGGGAGCTCGCAAGGCACAGCTCGCCTGCAGCCCCGCACGGTGACACCAGCCATCACGGCGGTGGCAGTGGAAAGAGGAGACAGGCAAGAGGCAGGACAGCCGGAAACTGAAACATCAAAAGTTCCACAGGAACTTAAGGAAAAATTTCTCAACAGTGAGGGTGACAGAGCACTGGAACAGGCTGCCCAGAGAGGTTGTGGAGTCTCCTTCTCTGGAGATCTTCAGAACCCGCTTAGATGCCGTCCTGTGCCACGTGCTCTAGGTGACTCTGCGTGTGCAGGGAGGTTGGACTAGATCATCTCGAGAGGTCCCTTCCAACCCTATGCATTCTATGATTCTATGTGCAGGTAGGATCAGCTGGGGCTTCGCTGCCCTCTTCTCCACAAAAAGGTTACAGCCACCTCACCTCACCGAGGATTGGGAAAGAGCAGTGGCCTTCACGAGGGAGCAAACAGTCCAGGGGTCAACGCGGATCTTGTTCAAGGTAGTTCTGCCACCCCTCCCCTCAGCCAGAGCCCAGTGCTGCCAGGGCACCTTGGGGATGTTGTGGCCCCAGAACTTGATGTCCTGCGTTGTCATGCGAGGAAAATTCTCAATTCGGGACTTCTGGAAGCGCTGCAGCTCGTGGATCACGGCGTTGGTGTACGGCATCCGCAGCTTGTCCTCCGTGCAGGGAGCACGGTCCGCACCCACCACTGCGTCAATCTCCTCCTGGACCTTAGCTGGGAAAAACTCAGGTTCAGGGCTGTAGTGTTTTGTGTCCAAGAGTCTCCAGTGATTTCTTGCTGGCCTCTACACCTATTCTAGGTTCAAAGGATGATCTAGTAGAGAGTGAGGAGCCCAGTGCAACCCCTCACGGAGACCAAAAGTAGGGGGTCTGCTTGCATAGCTCCCCAGGTGGTGCAGGTGCTCAAGGCTTTGCCCAGAGCATCGATCATGTGCCCACTCAAGACCATCCACATGGGCAGGGTAAGGGTAGGAACAGAGGGAATGGTTGTGGGCAGAGGGAGACACACAACCTATCTGTATTTCTGTTTAATGGACCTCGCTCTTGAGCAACCCACCAAGACTGATTCTGATCTCACAACAAAACCTCCTCCCATGGGAACCTCTGGGGCTGGGACTCTCAAGTCTGCTCCTTTGCTTCATCATGCCTTACTAAGGCAAAAGAAACAGCTGCATTTAGGTGCCCTTACCTTGAATATGGGGGTGTTTAGTCAGCACCAGGAGGAAAAAGACCAGGGCATTGCTAGTGGTTATTGTCCCAGCACCAAAGAGATTGAATACCGAAAAGACCAGGTCTTCATTGCTGTACATGTTCTCCAGGCTGCTCTTCTCCTGCAGGAATGTGATAGGGAGGAAATTCAACACAAGCCAAGTGGTTGTCCTTAGGCTGCAGCCAGCTCTTGAGAGCAACCCTTATTCCCCATGGCAAATCTCAAGGGAATGCTGCCCTTCCTTGGTGCCCAGAGGTGTCCCTCAACATCTTCCCCATGACGCTCACCCTTGGTGATGTGGCTAGCGGTTAAACCCTACTAAACACCTCTGGGAATTGAGACTGATTTCAGAGCAGCCACCTCTACCTTTTCCGCTTTTATAAGGAAACAGTCGATGTAGTCCCGGGGAGAGCTGGGATCCAGGCTCTGCTTGTGGCAATTGACTCTTTCTTGGATGTAGTCCTTGAGCTTCTCGCATTCGGCCAGGGCTTTGTGGTGAGGCCCAGGGAGGCGGTGCATGATGTTGGGGAAGGTGTTGTACACCTGCGGACACGAGAGGACAGCGGGCTCACGTGCCTGCACAGTTTCCCTCAAAGGTGGGCCTTGTTCTTTACTCTCTTATGCCTGGTTTCAAGCGCTAGCACCTGGTGAGACAACCCCCCAGGAATGTAGTGTGAGGTGCATTGAGACACATTCCAAGGACAACTTTAAAAATGTACATTGTGGGCATTTTTTGGGATACTCCCTGAGGGCTGCCCAGAGGAAGCTGTCCAGGTGTTGGATCAGGGCCACGAAGAACATTTGCCTCCATCTGATCTGGGGCAGAATTGAAGCACATACCTAATGTGACCATATGTTCAACTGCCACCAACCTCACTGGCAAAGAAAAGCTGTTGTAGGCAAAGCCAGACATCCAGTCCCAAGCCAAGGAGTGTCCCTAGACTGTCCGAATGAATCAGAAAAGAGGGCTCTGAGCACAGCAAGGGCACCTACCATGGCAAGAGGGGAGAGGAAAAAACTGATGTAATTTGCGATCACGGCCAGCAGCTCCAGAAAGGCTGCATCGCTGTAACTGTAGCGGCTCCCAAAGACAACAGAGCAAATCACATTAGCAACTGCATGTCTGAAAGTTACCATTGGCTCAAAGGCCTCACCTGCAGTGATGAAAGAAGCCAAAAAAAAAAAAAAGGGGGTATTAAAAAGTCAGTTATTTATTACACACTCACAGCAAAGAGCCCATCTGAGCTGCAGACACCGGGATATAGCTCCCTGCTCCCAAATCCCTTCCCAGTATTTGGGACCGAGGGACCCTACTTGCAACCTGCAGTAACCTGGAGGCCGGTACTTCTGCGCAATGACCACACTCCCTGCTTGCACAGTCTGCTGGTGTTCACGATGCCGTTGGGAGACAGGGTCACAGCAGCGCCCAGGGTACAACCGAGTCCTCCATCCCTCCTGCCTCTGCCCTGCACAGTGTCTCCTCAAGGAGGCCTCGCAGGCATCACTTATTTTAAAATAAGGAAGCACCAGAAGAGGTGGGTGCCCTGACATGGGCTCACAAAAGAAGCACGTTGCTCTGGGTACCCTCTGTGTACCCTCTACATTCTCAGTCCTGGAAGTTTCCTACTCCTGCTCTTTGGGCATGAAAGGTTCCTCAGTAGCCACACATCATGTGCACAGATTCATGGAGGAAAGTTTCCACGCTGGGTTTCACAACCATGACTGTACTGACATCCTCACTGCCCTCCCTGGAAGGCTGGGACAGTCTAAGTCCTCTCTCAGCAAGGATCATTCTGCAAATAGCTCTGGGGACCAGACTTGCTGCACAAGGCTGTGCTGTGCCCTCCATCTGCTCCAACAGCCAGGAAGGGCAGGACCCACGTCACCTTTGAAGCTCGCCAGCAGCTCCACGAGGTGCTGGGCCTCCTGCTGCACGCGCTGCGACATGGTGTTCTTCCCCATCCCAAAGTCCCGCAGGGTGCTGAGCGTGAACCTCCGCAGCTCCCGCCACTTCTTCTCGTTGGAGGAGGCAAACCCTGAGAGGAAGCAATGGAAACCACTCATCTGCCAGCACACGCAGCTCCTCCGTGAGAAACGGGGCCCCTGGTGCTAAAACCGACGGAGGAGCCATAGGGCAGTAAGCCAGGGAATGACCATGGTGCGTGGACAGCATCCTTGAAGAATGAGAATCCCAAAAGAAACCAAGAACAAAGCTGGAAATCTGCATTCATAGCAGTTATCTAACAGGAATTAATATTGTTGTCAGATAAGAGACGTAATAGATTGAGGGGCTTGCAGAATATGAAATGTGTGTTTGACATTTTGGACACTGAGTCCCTCCCTATAGATCTAATCATTCACTGGACAGCTGCAGTCAGGTACTTTGTGCTCATCCAAAGACTAATAAAGAAGAAACCCAAGCACCTACCGTAATCTTTTGATAGCCGGACCTGAAGGGGTATTTCAGGTCTCCCTCCAAACTCCTCCGAATGACCAAGCAGAGCGTCCTTCACCACCTCGTAGCCACAGAGCACCACCGCGGGCTTCAGTCCCAGCCAGACGGTGAACACGGGGCCGTACTTCTCCCTGAGCTGATGGGAAAGGGGCGCTGAAGCAGGTGCCGAGATGTCGCCCTCTGCTCCTCGAATGCCTCCCAGCCACAAAGCTGAGGTGAAAGGGATGGGAGTTTGACTTCCAAGAGCGCTGGGGAAAACTGTGAGTCCAAGGAGAAAATCTCCTGGTGCTCCCCCTCTCCCACCACCCCAGCTGTGCCCCGGCAGGACGATGCTCCCGCTGATGCTCCGTGGATTTTAAAGCTCGTCTGATCTTGCTGGGAAATGACTGTGGAAGGCAGCAGATGGTTAAATGCTCTGCTCACCCAGAAAGGGATTAGTATCACTTCTGTGGGTCCTGTTAAAGCACAAAAAAGACTAAAATAACAGTGCTGATTGTGGTCCAAATAGCACAAATTTGGGATTTTTTGATAGAGCAAGAAAGGAGGGAAGGGAAGAAAAAGGGGAAAAAGGAGTGACCCATATGACCGACCCCTTATTTTGGTGTAGCAAATTGCTGCTCCCTTCCCTGCTGCCCTGCCAGGGGCAGGGAGCTGCTACAACACTGCGAGCTGCTTTCTTACCTTCTCATAGGACGAGTAGAGGGGTAGGACGTCTTTTTGACATAAGTTTCCCAGGATGGGCCATGGGGTCGGTCCAGGAGGGAGCTGGCTCCTCTTCCTATCATTTTTCCAGACCAGGAAACACAAGAGAGAAAAAAAGAAAAGCATGATGCTGATCCCAGCTGTCCCAGCATCCATCCTCATCCGTCACCATGGAGCAGGGGCCAGAGGGATGGCTTCTCACACCACGGTAAAAACCCAGACTGAGCAGTGAGCAGAAGGGAGGTGAACTCTGCTCTTTATAGCACTGCCCTTCCCGCCGCTCCTGCCCGGAGGTTAAGGCTCTGTGCTCGCCCCTTGCCAGGCCGGGAGGTCAGTGACACAGAAAGGCTGGATTCTCCCGGTCCTACACAAACCCCGCACCCATCGTGTTGTAACACGGACCCGAAAGCTCAAACATGGGACTTTCGCATTGCAAAACCCTGCACAGCTCAGCCAAGGTGATAAAACCTTCCCCCAGCCCACCGCGCCGAATCCCTTTGCTGTTCGGTGCTCCCTTTACGTGGCTCGCAATGCAAGAAGTTGCCACTGCCTGGGCAAAACCCTTATAAAAATCCTCGGTGGGGGCTTGGGCCTTGTTGTTCCCCGGCCTCTCGGGGCTGCTGCGGGGACGGAGCTGGCGCCGCGGAGCCGCTCGCTCCGAGCGCGGCCGGACAGCAAGGAGGGATGCGACGTCTCCCTGCGGAGAGGGCTGGAGGAAAAGGAGCTTGTATTCCAGGTTAGTGCCTGCAATGGAAGCGGCCTTTCAGCAGAGGGCATTACATGATATTTTATGAGGAGCCAGAATTATAACGCTATCCCCCTGGGGAGGCAGCAGCACCAGGATTACTGGGTAAGAAACTGGGACAAGCTTTGGACAAAGCTGAGAGAAATGGCCAGGACCTCCAGGACCTCTGCACTTGTGCCCTTTTTGGCCACGTAGTAGGGCGGTTTACAGCCAAACTTTCCAGGACAAAACCCCTCCCGTGGCTGGCACGGGTCAGCCTGGCATGGGGCTCCTGCAGCCGGGCTCAGCGCTGCAGGTCCTAGCACCAAGTCTCCACAGACCAAAAAGCCACGGGCAAGTGAAACTGAACCTGCCACAGCCCTGGGACTGCTCCATTTCAGTGTTTCCATTCCCCCCCTCCAGACATGTTTTGTTTTGGAGGACTGGTCTTGGCAGGGTGGCCTGGAGGCCCACAGCTGAGGCCAGGAGGTGACCGTTAAACACTCTCTTTCCCCATCCTGTCCCTGCCTTTCCCCATCCTGTCTCTGCTCATCCCATGTTTTGCTGGAAACTCTTGACTTTGACACCTGCAAGGATTTGCTCGGGAACGTAGTGCAGTGACCTGATTTTTGGCATGAAGAGGAAAAACCTCGAGGTGACTGACACTGCCTTTTCAGTGGCAGCTGAATAACACTAAGCACTCACTAAAACAACAGGAAAAAGGAAAAAAAAATGTAACCATGGAGATTGCTTGGAGCAGCAAAGTGTAAGTGGAAGGGGAAATTCCCTCTTTTGGAAGCACAGCTCCAGCAGGCTCCAAACCAACAGGCAGACCCGAGGACGGATGCTCGGACAACAACAACATTTCAGTGCCACCCCATCCACTGCCAAAAAGGTGCTTAGAAAGCAAAATGTCTCTACTACAAAAATAAAGCATTACTGGCTTGCAGTATTGACAAAATGCAGCAAGCAAAGACAGCAGCCTGGACGTTCGTGAGTCCAGGTCACTAGAGGAACAAATTAAGAAAAACATAGGTACTCGCAGTGCCTATGAAACTTTGTATTTGTCTTTTCGAGACACTTATTGAGACTTTGCTGTACATGTTTCTTCCTAAACTATCAAATAGATTGAAAAGATCCACAAAATATCTTAATTATTTTATCTACTGTGAAGTATGCAGGGGTAAAAAAGGAAAGGCAGAAGCTGTCAACTAAACTTTCAGCAGCTAAATGACATTTTGCCTGAAAAAAACCTTACTAATGAATAGCACAAATGGGCTTTGGTGCAGCCCTTTCAGCACTTAGCAAGACTGGGGCCTAAAGTGAGTCCAAAAAATGGGGTACCTCATGTGTACCCAAAACTGCTGGTACTTTTCCCTTCTTTCTACTGATTTTCTTACGAGCTCTTTTGGAGAGCGGTGTCTGGGGAGGAGCAGATCCGGGCCCAGCCTGGGTATCGCTTCAGGAACAGCCTGCGAGACCTTTCGGCCAAGAACACAGGAATAGCAGGAAACAGTCAGATATAAACACGCGGGGACGGACCCGGGTGACATCCTTCTGCAGGGAGAGCGTCCCACCGCTTTGCTTTGGTCAGCAAAAGGCAGGCTGAAATCAGTAGCTCCGAACAACAGGGAAGAATAATTTGACTTTAAAAAAATCCTTTCTGAGTTTGTCAGAGGCAGAGATTTTAACTTGGAAGGAACAGCTAAAAGAAACCAATAACGAGAGCAGCACAGAGCTGGCAGCCTCCAGGACACAGTGTGAAGGCTGGACCCATGCAAGCTTAAGGAAAAGCATTCCTAAATTAAATGTTCATGTTACTAGATCAGACTCGGAATATATCTGAGGGATAGATTCAAGGAATGAGAAGAAATGATGCTCATGGGGTGTTTTTTCAGTGTAGATGTGTAGGCAAACAGTGAAACACAGAAGAGAGAGAAAATGGGAAAACAACTCTAGTCAAATAAAGAAGTCAATAAAATAGTTGATTATTGGATCTGGAAAGATCTGCTGTAGGAAAACATAACATAAGCTACTTCTTAGCTAGAGCTTTTACTCTGTCTCAAATGGCCTTGGAAGGAGCAGGACTTGTCCCACAGATGCACAGCAGAGCAGGCATCAGCCATGGTGCAGAGCCACCACATGGTGCGGCCACATATAGGGCCTGTCTGGGGACGGCCTTGGAAGGAGCAGGACTTGTCCCACGGATGCACAGCAGAGCAGGCACCAGCCATGGAGCAGAGCCACCACATGGTGTGGCCACATATAGGGCCTGTCTGGGGACCCAGGCACAGAATCACTGAACCACCAAGGTTGGAGGCACCTCTGGAGATCCTCTGCTGCACCCCCTGCTCAAGAAGTATTGGCTGGGGCAGGATGCCCAGGACCATGTGCAGTCATGGTTGGAATATCTCCAGGGATGGTGATGCCCCAACTCTCTGGGCAACCTGTTCCTCATTCTTTCTCATTGTGAAGAAGTGTTTTCTTATGTTTCAGTGGAATTTCCTATTTTTCATTTTGTGCCATTACCCCTTGTCCATTCGCTGGGCCCCACTGAGTAGAGTCCAGCTCTGACTTGCTCACCTCCCCTGTCAGATGTTTACACACACTGATAAGATGCCTCAGGGCCTTCTCTTCTCCAGGTTGAACAGTCCCAGCTCTCTTGGCCTCTCATCATACAAGAGACTCTGCAATCTCTTAAACATCTTAGTGGCTCTTTGCTGGACCAGTTCCAATAGCTGCAAGCCCCTCTGGTCCTGGGGAACGAGCACTGGACCCGCACTCCAGGTGTGACATCCAGGGGGTTGAGCAGAGGGGCAGGATCACCTTTCTTGACCTGCTGGCAACGCTCTTCATAATGCTGCCCAGGATGACATTAGCCTTCTTCGCCAAAAGGAATTGTTGCTGGCTCGTGTCCAACTTGGTGCCGACCAGTCCCCAGCTTTTCTTCCCCATGGCAGGGCTTTGCATGTCCCTCTGCCGAGCTTCATGAGGTTCCTCTCGGCCTATTTCACCACCCTGTCAAGGTCCCTCTGAACAGCAGCTTCTGGCTTACTCCTCCCAGTTCTGTGTCGCCTTCACACTAACTAGAGGGCCACCACATCATCCACGTCATTAATGAAGACATTAAACACCCTTACCTTGTGCTACATCCCATCTTTGGGTGTGAGGAGGACTAAGCAAACACCTGCAGGTTCCCCTAATCTTATGCTCTAACTCTACTGGCTTAGAGTAAGCTGTTATATTACACTAAGGCAATTAATATTATCCTAATGCAATTTTCTCTTGCCAGAGCCCAAGCCCCGGCGGTCAGGAGGTGCTCTGCTCGCTCCCGGGCCTTGCTGTGCACAGCGAAGCGTGCGTGAAAACAGCTGAAAACCATTTCTGCCTCTGTCCCCTCCGCGAGCTGAGGGTGAAACGGCGAGGCACTGCGTCTGCTCGCTGAACGCCCTGGTCCTGTTAATAACCAAACTGAGAGTATTTTTGGTTGCTCTTAATAATGCAGCAGCCCTGGCTGCACGGGAGCTCGGCTGTAGCTGCACGGAGCATCGTTTCCAACGGCCGTCGTTTCCTCTGCAGGAGCCTGGCTCCGCGCCAGCACCGTGCAGCAGCCTCCGCTCTGGAGGCCGGCCGGAGCATCGGGCTCCCCGCGCCCGCCGGGACCACCCTCCTTCCCTCCGCTCCTCGCAGAGTCGCTCCTCGCGGCGCGGCTCTCGCACTGCCCATTCCCGAACCGCTCCTCTCTCTGGAGAGAGCCTTGCTGTGCTGAACCAGCCGGATCTCTGCTCTCCTAATGGGAACACGATTCCTTGCTGGCTGCCAGCTCCCCACGTGAGTCATGTGCCCTGGGGGCCAGTTATTAGCGTTGGCGGCCGGTGACGGTCACGCACGGCACCACCGCGCGCGCCCGGCCGGCCCCAGCCGTGCTTGGCCGCGAAGGAGGATGTCGCCTGTGCCCCGTGCGTCCCCATACGACCGAGCTCCTGCTCTCCTGCCCCCTGCTCCTCCTCCCCTCCACGCTCTGCCTTCCCCTGCCCTGGGCCCAGGAGATGGTGACATTGCAGGGAGGGCAGATGTCATCAGGCAGGGACCGCAGCCCCGCTCAAAGCCACCCCTGACATCAGCTCCGGGAGAAGGACACAGGATGCTGGGTAGAAAAGCAGAGTTTGGACCAACCTGCAATGATGGGCAAGGCAAGCCCCCCGTGGGATTTTTAGTGCCCTCCAAATTTGCTTGCCTTCCCCTTCTTTTTTTCCCTAAACACCCTGAACACAGGAAGCTTTAAATAAAATTACATTGCATTTTTTTTCCCTGCATAATGACCTAGACAACCATGGCATCTTCTACCACTTGTCTTCACAAATATCTTTTGAGGAGAAAGACATCATTTAAGCAGGGAAAATGAAGCAATTTGCATTTGCATTAAGTAAATGTCACTCACAATCTAATTCTAGTCTTCAGTGTTTTTAATTTTAACAGCAGGTGATTTGCACAGCTGTGGCAAAGCAGCAGCGAGCAGACTGCAATCCAGGCATTGCAAACAGCCGTGGAA